TAATGCACAATTCACAAGTCTGCCAACCGCCATAAAATCCCATAAGAAGAAGAAGAAGATTTAGTTTTGGTGGTGAACCCAAACAGTAAAGCTTTTGTTCAGCTTTATTTTCCGAAACTGAACATTAGAGCCACTCCGGTCGGTCGGTGGATGGTCGTTTGGTGCATGGCGCGTGTTTTGAAGCTGCTTATGGAGAAATGTCTTGGGCCGTGAGTAGTGAGGAAACAGGAAGCGATTCTTGTGGGATGGAAGAGGGAAATAGTGACAATGAAGGTTGGAAGATAGCAACATCAAAAAATGAGAAAAAGCGGAAAAAACAGAGATCAGTTCAAGGGGAATCTAGTTCAGAACAATCCAGTGATGATCATTCCATACATTCCACAGCACAACAAAATGAATTCAAAGTCATATTCAAAGTCGTTAATCAGGCAGACTCTTTTACAAATTGGAATCCGGTTCACTTAACAAAAACCATCAATAAACTTGTCGGAGAAGTCAGAGGTGCCAGAATTCTGTACAGTGGAGACCTGCTAATTAACTGCAGAGACAGCGCCCAGCAAGGCAAAGCAATACGGATCAACAAAATTGACGGGATAAGAGTTCAGTGCAGCCTAATGGAGAACAAAAAGATCAGCAGGGGAGTCATTGGAGGAGTTCCTCTAAAAATTTCTGAAAAAGAGATTCTGGAAAACATAAGCGGTGCAAAAGTAAAAGAAGTAAAACGGTTAAAAACAACAAGAAACGGAGAAAGATCTGACAGTTTATCTGTGCTAATTAAATTTGAGGAAGAGCAATTACCAAGCAAAGTATTCATCGGTTACATAAGCTATAATGTCAAAATCTACAATCCTCCACCATTGAGATGTTTCAAATGCCAAAAATTCGGTCACATTGCAGCAGTTTGTAAAGGGAAACAGAGGTGTGGAAGGTGTGCAGGAGAACATGAGTACGGAAAATGTGGAAAAGAAGCTAAAATAAAATGCTGTAATTGTGGTGGAGAACATACTGCTGCCTATCGCGGCTGTGAAGCAAGCAAAAGGTCTGAGGAAATTAAAAAAATGAAATTTGAGCTCGGAATAACCTACGCTGAAGCTGCAAAAAGGATCCCATCTCAGTCAGAAAAACCCAAACCTACAGTTCAACACACAGCAAATTCCAAACCTCTAGAGAAATCTCTAAAAATTGATGAAGATTCACTTATTGTTAAAAAGACAAATTTTGTTCTTTTCATGGTAGAAGTAATTAATTGTACTGCACAGACAACAAAAAAAACGGAAAAAATCAAAATAATAGTGAAGGCTGCAGAAAAATATCTGGACATTAAAGATTTGAACTGGGAGATGGTTGGAAGTATGATGGGAGGACCGATGGGACCATCAGAAACTGGCAGAGTTAAGATGACCTAGAGTAAATTAAAAATTATATGGGCAAATGTGATTTAGTATTATGTTGGTTTAAGTTACACAGGTTTGTTTTTTTTTTTTTTGGGGGGGGGGGGGGGGGGGGGTGAATCGTTTTCTGTTTTCTTGCTTTACTCCATATCAGTTGGTGGCGGTAATGCACAATTCACAAGTCTGCCAACCGCCATAAAATCCCATAAGAAGAAGATTTAGTTTTGAGACAACCACGGAACCAGGCCGGTGGTGGAAAAGAATATATGATGTTTTAATTCGATCTGTGTTGGACTATGGATGTATTGTTTATAAATCAGCTGCAAATTCTTTGTTGTTAGATTTAGATAGAATCCAAGCCAAAGCGCTTAGGATATGTAGTGGTGCTTTTCGAACATCTCCAGTTCCTGCTCTTCAAGTGATTACTGGAGAAATGCCACTGGACTTAAGGAGGATGAAACTGTCAATAAATTACTGGTTAAATTTACAAGGGCATGAGGAAAATCACCCTACTAAACAGATATTCAGAGAATGTTGGGAATATGGCCATAATATAAGGAGTTTTGGATGGGAAGGAAATATTTATGCAGAGTATTCTGGGATAAGTAATATAACATACTGTAAAACTGTAAGTACATCTAAAATTGCTCCATGGTTTTTCGAAATGCCAATAGTAAATTTAGAAACTAAAAAAATAGAAGAGTCTTGTGGAGGTTTGTATCAAATTATTCAGCAGCATTTAGAAGTAAGGTATGAAAATATGACACAAATATATACAGATGCATCAAAAGAGGAAAATGGTAAAACAGGAGTAGCAGTATATATTCCAAAAGAAAATATTTCTATCAAGAGAAGAACAACAGATAATTTATCAATTTTTTCAGCAGAGATGTTGGCAATTATTTTAGCATTGCAATGGGTGCTGGAGGTGAAGCCTAGAAATGTAGTTATCTGTTCAGATTCAATGTCTTGCCTGACTAGTTTTAAAAGTGGAAAATCTGAAAGCCGTCAAGATCTTTTAGATGAAGTCAGTTATTTAATGTATGGTATAAGGCAACAAAATATAAGTATTCAATTCACATGGGTTCCAGCACACAAAGGAATCTTAGGTAATGAAAAAGTAGATAAGTTAGCTAAAGAAGCAGTTAAAGTAGGAGAAATTGAATATGATGTCCCGCTAAGTAGAACAGAAATAAAAGTAATTATTAAAGATAAAATAAATAAGGTATGGCAGAAGAGATGGAATTTAGAAAAAAAAGGAAGACATTTATATAAAATACATAAAGATATTAGCATAGGATATAACAGTATAATGAGTAGAAGAGAGGAAATATGGATAAACAGGTTAAGGATTGGGCATACTAGTTTAAATGCAGGTCTAAAAATAATAGGGAAACAGCCAACGGGTAATTGTTGTTATTGCGGAGAAATCGAAGGAGTAGAACATGTGTTGATCTATTGTAGCAAATATACAAAAGAGAGGAAAGAACTGGAAAGGGTAATGGGGAGTTCAGTAAAGATGGCAGATTTATTAGGGAAGCATCAATCAGATAAGATAATTAAAGCACTTATTAAATATTTAAAAGATACAGAATTAGCTGGGAGAATTTAGTGTGTGTATGTGCGTGTGTGTAAGTATAGATAGAATTTAGTTTCATGAAGATATAAAGATATACAGACATTATATTTCTGAATTACATCTCCGTCCAGTTGATGGCGGTAATGCACACAGGATGCAAACTGCCAGAAAACTCAATAGAAGAAGAAGAAGAAGGCCGGTGGTGCATGGCGCGTGTTTTGAAGCTGCTTGTGGAGAGATGTCCTGGGCCGTGAGTAGTGAGGAAACAGGAAGCGATTCTTGTGGGATGGAAGAAGGAAATAGTGACAATGAAGGTTGGAAGATAGCAACATCAAAAAATGAGAAAAAGCGGAAAAAACAGAGATCAGTTAAAGGGGAATCTAGTTCAGAACAATCCAGTGATGATCAATCCATACATTCCACAGCACAACAAAATGAATTCAAAGTCATATTCAAAGTCGTTAATCAGGCAGACTCTTTTACAAATTGGAATCCGGTTCACTTAACAAAAACCATCAATAAACTTGTCGGAGAAGTCAGAGGTGCCAGAATTCTGTACAGTGGAGACCTGCTAATTAACTGCAGAGACAGCGCCCAGCAAGGCAAAGCAATACGGATCAACAAAATTGACGGGATAAGAGTTCAGTGCAGCCTAATGGAGAACAAATAGATCAGCAGGGGAGTCATTGGAGGAGTTCCTCTAAAAATTTCTGAAAAAGAGATTCTGGAAAACATAAGCGGTGCAAAAGTAAAAGAAGTAAAACGGTTAAAAACAACAAGAAACGGAGAAAGATCTGACAGTTTATCGGTGTTAATTAAATTCGAAGAAGAGCAATTACCAAGCAAAGTATTCATCGGTTACATAAGCTATAATGTCAAAATCTACAATCCTCCACCATTGAGATGTTTCAAATGCCAAAAATTCGGTCACATTGCAGCAGTTTGTAAAGGGAAACAGAGGTGTGGAAGGTGTGCAGGAGAACATGAGTACGGAAAATGTGGAAAAGAAGCTAAAATAAAATGCTGTAATTGTGGTGGAGAACATACTGCTGCTTATCGCGGCTGTGAAGCAAGCAAAAGGTCTGAGGAAATTAAAAAAATGAAATTTGAGCTCGGAATAACCTACGCTGAAGCTGCAAAAAGGATCCCATCTCAGTCAGAAAAACCCAAACCTACAGTTCAACACACAGCAAATTCCAAACCTCTAGAGAAATCTCCAAAAATTGATGAAGACTCACTAATTGTTAAAAAGACAAATTTTGTTCTTTTCATGGTAGAAGTGATTAATTGTACTGCACAGACAACAAAAAAAAAACTGAAAAAATCAAAATAATAGTGAAGGCTGCAGAAAAATATCTGGACATTAAAGATTTGAACTGGGAGATGGTTGGAAGCATGATGGGAGGACCGATGGGACCATCAGAAACTGGCAGAATTACGATGACCTAGAGTAAATTAAAATTATATGGGCAAATGTGATTTAGTATTATGTTGGTTTAAGTTACACAGGTTTTTTTTTTTTTTTTTTTTTTTTTTTTTTTGGGGGGGGGGGGGGGTGAATCGTTTCCTGTTTTCTTGCTTTACTCCATATCAGTTGGTGGCGGTAATGCACAATTCACAAGTCTGCCAACCGCCATAAAATCTCATAAGAAGAAGATTTAGTTTAGGTTTATAGTTACGTAATATCCGCTTCCGCGTTTCCGATTTGATCTTCTAGGGGAAAAACAACAATGGCGTCCTGTAGTGAGGTAGATGGTCTTTTTTTAACAAATTATTTACCTAACAAGTAGCAAAGCTATAAATAACAAGTATTATTTGTTGATAATGTATAATTATGTTGTTTGGAGTTGATATGACTCAGTTGAATTGTTTTAAATGTCTAGTTGGTTTGCTAAGCTATTCATCGTTAGCCGATATGCTAACCAACGTTAAACCTGTCAGATACATTGGGCTATTTAGACTGTAGTTTAAGCATGGATCGCTAAAACACATTGACTTCTGTAGGCTGTGGTTTAACTGTGGATTTCTGATCTCCGCTAAAGGATAAAGCTGCTGCTGCTGCTGAGGAAGAACAGACGGAATCGTTGGCTTCCCAAAAGAGAGAGGAAAGACTCCGTAAATTCAGAGAGTTGCATTTCAAACGGGTGAGTTGGGTAACTTTGCCAAAAAGCATTAATGACGTCGCAAAAATCCAATATTTATCATTCATTCTCGGTTAGTGGCTTTAAGAAAGACTTCATATATACATGAAATGCGAACATTGCTTTCTGTAAACCTTCTTTTTTTTTCTCCTTGCAGAATGAAGCACGTAAACTGAATCATCAGGAGGTAGTGGAGGAGGACAAACGACTGAAACTTCCCTCCAACTGGGAAGCTAAGAAATCCAGACTGGAGTGGGAGCTGGCCGAAGACGAAAAGAAAAAGGTATCTAATGCAGTCCTGTGGGAAAGCCTTCATCCATTTCTAATTTCTATAGTTAGTTTGCAAAGGCTTTCAGAGTAAGAGGTGTTAAATTTTTTTTGTTTGTTTGTTTTATCATAACTTATCTAATCACCTCAACTCTAATTTATGAAGATGTTTATTTATTAAATGCTAGAAGACATAATGTTTTTCACTTGGAGCATCACCGTAACCTTGCCACACATAAAAATACAACATTTTGTACCCTTTTTTAGATCATATCATCATCTACATGCTCCGGAAATCTTTTTTACTCTATCATGAAATGCTTGCTGGAATAAAATGCTTTTGGTTTAATGGCCTTGAGCTAAGCTACTGTATTACGCTGGGTATGGAAAGTATTCAGACCTCTTTTCACTCTTTGTTTCATTGCAGCCATTTGCTAAATTCAATAAAGTTCATTCTCATTAATTCATCTCAGTTTATTTATATAGCGCCATAATGCGGTTGTACTGGCTTTGGTTATTAACATGACATTGATTGCTGCTGCGCAACATCCACACTAACAACATCAGCAGGGTTGCAGGATGTCACTGACTCACATTTTTCAGCCCAAAAAATGTTCATATACCGCCTGGATGTATGAAATCTCACCCAATCTCAACCAAAGTCAATTGATCTCTTAGGCCATAAATCTAAAGACAATTTTTTTTTACCCATAGATGGCCATCCTAAACTGCCAGATTGGGAAACATCCCAACCTAGCAACAATGCACGTAAGATGGGAAATGTTAACCTTTAGATGCAAAACCCCATCCTGCACCGCAACATATTTTTGCAAAATATTCAAACATAAATTTGCCAAATATAAGAAGAACATTGTAGTTTGGTTTAAAGAAAGCATTTTAGTTTTATTATAATTTAGTTTGTTGCAAGGATTTTACAGTTTGAAGAAATAGAAAATTACACCATATGCCAAACGTCACTAGGATGTGCATGACAAGGAAGGGCGATATATACTGTGTGCATCATTTAGTTAGTTAATATTGTATTATTTCTTGAGCTTCTTCAGTTATTTACTGTCACAGGTAGGTGCTTCGGCTGGAGAGTTGGGGCCGGTATGATTTAAGGAGGGCCGGCCCTAGCATGCTGAAATTGGGACCGGCCCACCGGGAAAATGGCCGCTATCACAGATTAACAGTCTGAGCCTATAACAAAACGGATCCCAAAAGTCTGTTTGTTTTTTTCCCTTTTACTTTATCAGCGAACGTTGATATCCCCAGAGATGTTTCCTAGCATGAACCATATTATATTACAGCAAGAATCAGCTGGTTAAAAACAAAAGAATCGATTCACACATTGCATAAAATTGTGAAAAGCTGGCACCGTGATCAGTGATTTAACGTCTGCACTCAGCTCTTTCACTCAGACTGTACTATATGTAACATACACTGTTAACATGAATCGATTCTTAACTAACATCCTTGGTTTCATCACAAATTTTTAATATTTTGCACACCTAGTACCTTGCATGGATTTTTTTGGTTTTCCTTATAAAGTTAGCAGTATTGGTTGTCAGTATTTTGGTGCTAAATCATTTGCAGTTGATTAGCATTGTGACGACTTCTCTCATTACAAAGTCAACACCATACACCCAGATCTTTAAAATCCCTCCAATCCCTACCAAGTGTCAGATGGATGCTGAAAGTCTTTCGGTGTATTATTGGGTGGTTTATTTATTTTATTTTTTCATATTACCTGAAATATCACAAGTGCTTTATCCATGCTGTGTTTCATGGGTTTACCTATCACATACTTTAATACTGAATAGATGATTTAGATGAATGATATTGCACAGCTCTGATTAAATGTTTACCTTTAAGGAATGTGCTGCTCGTGGTGAGGACTATAACAGAGTGAAGCTACTGGAAGTAACCGCTGATGAAGCAGAGAAATGGGAGAGGAAGAAAAAGAAGAAAAATCCAGACACCGGATTTGCAGGTTTGTGACTTCGTAGTAAGAGAACTAATGCAGCCCCGTTTAGTGTCACATGACTCGTCAGTCAAATGGGACAGCCTTTATCAAAGATACCGTTGTTAAAATTAGGAGGATTTGTCCCCTTGGATAAAAAGGCTGTAGCGCCCCGGGGGCCTCCTCACCGGTTCTTTTCCTGGGAGCAAGTTATTTACTACTCTTAACTCAAACTGGGTAAAACCATATAAAAAAGACTATAAAACAGGAGTAAAAAATAACAGAGTTTATTCCAGATCAGGTCGTTACAGGACAGAGAAAAATACTTAGAGCTTGCACAGCTGTGGTCTCAAAAATCACAATCCACAATGTGAAGGAAGGCCTTCTACTCTGTCTAATCTGGCTAACAAAATAACAATGCACATGATGCATAAATGATAAACCTAACACCGTTGCTTTGAACTGATTACGATTTTAGGAAGTCGACATGAATGGCTAGAGTGGTGGCAAGATGACCAGAAACAACTAAAATGTAATTTCTGGTCATTTGGCCACATTGCACTGACAACAGCAGACTGCTGTGAGTAATGCAAAATAGTGCCCTATTCTAATATTACTTGTAAAATATAGTGACAATGCAAATTCTGTTGTTTTGAAAATAATTTTAAAGCAACTACTCTTTAAAAAAAAACAATTCATCGCTGATGCTAGTTGAAAATATTCAATACTGTTTGTTTTTTCAAATTGTCTTATATAGAGGGATTAAAGTATTCGTAGCGATTGCCCATGGGTAAAAAAAGTCACTCAAAAATAAATTGATGGTAAATAAATTTAAAAAAACAATCGAAATCCCTCTTGTTCTCGTTTGTCAGCCAATGGTAGCAAAGGAGCGCTCTTAAGCTAACAGTGTTAGATAAACAGAAGAAAAAGATGGCCAGTGTTGTTAGTGCGACCGTGCACACTACACGTTTGCCGGGAGCTATGGCAACAGCTGATTTACCAGCCTCAATAACTGACTCTGTATACGAGTTAAAAATAAGGGTTTGTGCTTTCCTCACCTAACAAGACCTCACAGCCTGGTTATCCTGCCGCAGCAGTGTGTCGCAGTGAGCTTGTCGCAGATATTTTTGATTAATGCTCAATATTGAGGCATGGTTTGTGCTATGATATTCCACGACAAAACGCAAAAGGGAGGATCATGAACTAGCTGTGGGTCTAGATACGGCCGAGGCGGTGAGGAAGCGGGGGACTTTGATGCTAAAAATAGCAAAAATTATGGGGTTTTTTTTTAGGATAAGTAGGACACAAATCCTGCCATTTTTTATTGAGGAGAGTGCAACAGTCCATCCAAGTGGAAATTAGTTTTTGAGGATATAGAACAACATATTGTTTTTCTCTTTTTAAAAAACAACAACTTGACTTTAAAGATCCAGGAGCAAAGTGGCGCTGGCTAACAGAGGCTTCTGGAAACATAGTGTTTAAAAATGGATCCTGCTATCGCCTGAGGGGTTTGTCAGTTTTTACACTGACTGATGGCTTTTTTTTTGTTTTCAGTGGGTGGAGTGTTTACAGACGTGTTCCATCCTGTTTTAATGAGGTTGAATCCCAAAGCTTAGAAGAACCACAGGGATCCCATCTTTTAATTTGGCAGCTTACCACCCACATATTCAATTTAATGATCAGTTTACTGTGTTTCTCTTCATTTTGAAGTTTAGACTAAAGACGGCAGCAGTCTCATCTATCTTCTGCTGATATAGATCTAATCTGATCTGTAAGATGTTTCACAGCTAATGTAATCACTGAACATTGTTTCACACACTGAAATCTCTGTAAGTTCCAGATTATCTTTCTCCTGGAATCCTTCTGGGAGTTTTTTAGCCGGAGGTCATCTTCAAAGGAACAAGCTTTAGATCTGACAGGTTTATTTTGGGCATGGGTAACTCTTTTCTGACACTATTTAACCCCGTCATTGAACCATTAGTAATGTAATGCAGTGTTCCAGAGAGAACAGAAGATCATCTGTAGCACAACTTTATTCGCTGTGGTGCATTGTGGGATTGTTCCAAAAAGCAATCCCATTATCATTGTCAAATTTTACTGGTGAAGATTCTCAGTCATCCAGTTCTTAGTCATTACAAGTTAAAAAACAAACCACTGGATTTTGTTTCCAAGTTGGAAGATGTTTCTCTTCCTATCAGGAAGCTTTTCCAAATCAAATGTCAGAAATAGATTTGAGTTTGAAGCTTTATACAGTAGCCCATCAAAGCCTTGTTTTTGTTTAGAAAATATGCAAAGTGAAACGGACGAACAGGTTCATAATTCTTATATATTACAGAAAACTAACACCATTTATTTAAATGATTGGATGCAAACTATTGGTTTCTCGACATACGAGGAAGCAGATTTCTCATCTCCATCACAATATTTATTTTATACCGAGGGGCTTAAAAGTTGAATCAAATCCAGTCAAAAGAAACTTTTTATTGCAGGAATGGATGAAGAGATGCTGAGTTTGGAAGGAAAGAACAAACATGGTTCATAAAAAAGCTATTTTGTATGATCTTAGTTATCCCTGTTACAAAAATCCACAACAAAAAGAAAATATTTGGGTAGAAACCGCACATATGCTGGATGCTGATGGGTTTTTTTTTTAATATGTCATATTAAATTAAGCATTCATTTACGCAAGTTTTGCAGCTATGAATTTAATAATATTCCTCGAACCACGAGGAAGTCGGAGCGGAGCAAGACGGGAGAAACAGGCTGTAGGCTTTGCGCAGCGGGGTGGAGCAGTGGTTGAGCGTATGGGATTTCAGGGTAAGTCTCTAAAAGGGGGTTGTGAAAGGGAATTGTTGGCCTGGCTGAATAGGCGGGGCCTTCTGTTCTGTTGTCTCAAAAATCTACAATGCAGCAATTGAGTTAATCCCTTCCCGCTATCGTCCCAAACCCTTTACAGAGGATCAGAAAAGCCGCTTATTCAGCCAGTCCAACAATTCCCTTTAAGTGCTCCCCCTCTTAGAGACATAGGCCGTTTCTCAATAAGTTGTGCGTTCTCATGTGCTCGTGAAACGTGACCAGCCCTAGTGCTGTTCCAGTTCACAAGAACAGCAGAACAAGAACGAACAAAGTCCCTGGATGTTGTTCTCACCCCTCCCTATTTACCCAGCATGCTTTAGTGCAGCTGCTGTTCCATAAAAGTAAGTTTTAAGATCATTTGAGCTGAGAACATTATTCTTTTAAGCATCAAGTTGAGTGGACCGTGGCAACCCGTGGAGCTCTGAGGCTAACGGCAGCCAGCCCTCTCTCGGCTGATGGCGATTTTTTTTTTTTTTTTGGCAAAATGTTCATTTGATTTGTGTTTATCTGGCTGTGTTAATTATCATTCCCCCACTAAATGAAAAAAGGCAGAATTTATTATTATCTAGAGACTATTAATAACAGGAGGTGACTAGCCGAGCATGTGCTGACGTCACGAGTACGCTTCTGGTCCAAATGAGCCATATTTATGCATGTGATCCTGTTCTCTCCAAGTCCAGACCTTCCTGTGTTCTTAAGAACATACTTGGGGAGGACACGAGTCTGTGCTCGCGTTCTTGTGAGATGAGAAACAGCAATAGACAGGTATGGGGTATTGCAGGCTAAAAAAAGAAGCCAAACGACCCCCATTCCACAGGGCTGGACCCGTTTGACCTTTTCAGTTTGCATGTTTTCTAAACAAAAACAGGGTTTTGTTGGGCTACTGTATAAAACCTGGAAATCAACGCTATTTCTATCATTTGATTTGGAAAAAGCTTCCTGGATGGGAAGAGAAACGTCTTCAAACTTGGAAACAAGGTCCAGTGGATTGTTTTTTAACTTATTTGGATTGGCAAATTTTCATAAAGCGAGCTTGAAATGTAAGGACATTGGTGCTGTTCACAGGAGGGACTCCCAGAGAGGATAGGAGGAGGAAAGTTTCTTCTCTTATCCTTCTCTAATCATCTACAGCTTGTGCCTTGCATCTGCTTGGTATTTGTTCCACTAATAATATTTAATTTTTTTGTTTTAACGGACTGCAGGTTATGCAGAGGCTCAATTCCGTCAGTACCAGAGACTCACCAAGCAAATCAGACCAGACCTGCAGAGCTATGAGAAGCAAAGGGAGGAAAGGTGAGTTAAATGGGATTTTGTAATTATTTATTTTACCAGATGTGATGTTTAATAAAGCGTGTGGTCCAACATTACGGGATAGAAGATCTTAAAATGCAGCACATCCTTCTCTAAGCTTAAAAAAATTAAAGCGATACACATCTGTCTGTTGGTAAAGCAGTTTTTTTAAGGTTTTAAAGTTCAGCAAAGCATCATGTGAGCCACTACCCAGCAGTAGATAAAACACGGGACGGTGGTGAATCTGGGAAAGGATGGCCTTCCAGGAGGACACAAGATTCTTGATTGGATAAAGAACTGCCTCGCCTGCTTCCGTTAAGATCAGCGCTCACCATTCAGCGAGATGTAAACCCTTGTTGGCTGTTATTGTTGTCAAGGGAGACACATTTAGTTATGTTTAATAGGTACCCTATGGAAGAGGATTGGGGCCACTGGAAAAAAAGAAAGTTAACCGATTTTTAAATATTATTTCATTCTGATTATGACTTTAATCTAAGAATTCTGACTGAATTATGTCAGCTAACAAACATGTTATCATCAACCTGTAGCCATGTCTGTTTTAGAGACTAAACTAGCTATCTTGTTTTTAATCACCTTCTGCTCTTCTATTAATGAAATAGCATCACTGGGGACCCATCAGGAACCTAAAAAGTCACCTAATTTCATCATTTTCCACCAATATGTTACTGGCCGTCCCAAACAGCTCACATCTTTGCATGTGAAGCTGAGTGCTCCCACATCTCTGCCGATCTACATTAAGATCCAAAATTCAGAGATTAAAGTCAGACTTCTGAGAAAAAATGTTAGAATTCTGAGATTAAAGTCAGACTTCTAAGAAAAAAATGGCAGAATTCTCAGATTAAAGTCAGAATTCTGAGATTAAAGTCAGCATTCTGAGATTAAAGTCAGAATTCTCAGATTAAATTCAGACTTCTGAGAAAACATTTTAGAATTCTCAGATTACAGTCAGCATTCTGAGATTAAAGTCAGCATTCTGAGATTAAAGTCAGAATTCTCAGATTAAAGTCAGACTTCTGAGAAATTTTTTTTTGAATTCTCAGATTAAAGTCAGAATTCTGAGATTAAAGTCAGACTTCTAAGAAAAAATGTCAGAATTCTCAGATTAAAGTCAGAATTCTGAGATTAAAGTCAGCATTCTGAGATTAAAGTCAGAATTCTCAGATTAAAGTCAGACTTTTGAGAAAAAAATGTCAGAATTCTCAGATTAAAGTCAGAATTCTCAAATTAAACTCAGCATTCTGAGATTAAAGTCAGCATTCTGACTTTTTTTCCCCCATTTTAAACTGAAATAAAAATTATTTTTCCAATGGACCTACTCTCTTCCGTAGTAACCAGTTTTTCACAGGAAGCCAGGTTGATTATATCTTCTGAGAATTTACCACAGATTTCATCTTTGTCTAACATTAATCTGTGTGAATAAAACAAGTTATGAAAGTTTGGGGCTAAATCTTTGCTTTGCACTTTATTTGAATCATACTAAAAGTATGAAAAAAGTTGATCCATTTAGAAATTGTCTGAATTAAGACCATAACTGTATAATTTCCTAAAGAAAGGGATGAATTGGAGCCGTAGGCCTGGTTTGACCAACCTAGAAGTCACCCATCATGTGTTTAATAAAGCCATTAGTATCTGCTCAGCCACGTAGTCCCCGATTTGCCCTGGGATTTGCTTGACCCAGACGCACCATCCAGAAATAATTTAAAGATTTTTAAATGTAGATGCACAGAACATGCATGCTAAGGTCAAAAAGATTTTAGTGCCTAAAGGGTTTTTAATCTTTAGCTGCTACCACATGCAGGCGTTGCAAAGGATCGGCTGTCATGGTTTTCCCTGAGGGAGCATCATAGGGATGCTCAACATCACAATGGTGGAATAGAAAAGTCTGTTTAAGTATGTTAAAATGGTGCTTATCTGAGGTTAAGTATTTCTAATTCTTTTGCCGGTGCTGCTCCACAGCGGTGAGGACTTCTACCCCACGTCCAATAGCCTGAGCTACGGCACCCATGTTCCCACAAAGGAGGGCATTGACCGCATGGTGGAGGATGTCGAGAAACAGTAAGTAACAGTTGTAAATCTTAAAAGCGGTTCTCTATTCTGCTTCTTAACCTTTGAGATAATGTGAGCTGCTAATTCATTAACAGCCTGAAAGGGCAGCTTTCTGTATAAAAAAGAGCAAAGGACTGAGACAGGAAGCCAAAGCGTAGGAAGAAACACTAAATCCTTATTATCCTTTTATTCAAAACCCCTTTAAAAAGCAAAGGTTTGGAATAGCCTCAATGCTGGCTCGCTTTGGCTAATATGAGCAACGCCCCTTTTCATTTATCACTGATGGGAGAAAGTTGAGTCAGATGTTTTTCCTACACTGGCACACCACAAATATAGTGTGGCGATACAGTAAGTGTCAGCAATGTAAGTGTGTCTCTGTGATAGACCAGAGCCTGTCTAATTAGAAAAGAAATCAACTCCAGGGTATAAATCCTGATCCAAGCTGACAGTTGGTCTAAAAATTCATAAAGGGAAGCAGTGAAGGACAGAGTAAAGGCTGGTTTTTACTCAGAAACCAGGCCGTCTGCGTGTTTGTTGCAGTTCACGCAGATATGCCCCGCCCCTCCCAGAGACACTATGCTGCACCTCACCAAAATTGTAGCTGACAGCAGGAAGGAGGCCTCTGATTGGTCAAATCTACATCTGCTCTACACTATGCTTATTTTCTATATAGATCTATAGATGTATGTACAGGTGCTGGTCATAAAATTAGAATATCATGAAAAAGTAGATTGATTTCAGTAATTCCATTTAAAAAGTGAAACTTGTATATTATATTCATACATTACATACAAACTCATATATTTCAGATGTTTATTTTGTTTAATTTTGATGATTACAAATGACAACAAATGAAAATCTCAAATTCATCATATCAGAAAATTAGAATATTACTGAAGACCAATAAAAACAAAGGATTTATAGAAATGTTGGCCAACTGAAAAGTATGAACATGAAAAGTATGAGCATGTACAGCACTCAGTATTTAGTTGGGCCTCCTTTGGCCTGTATTACTGCAGCAATGCGGCGTGGCATGGAGTCGATCAGTCTGTGGCACTGCTCAGGTGTTATGATAGCCCAGGTTGCTCTAATAGTGGCTTTTAGCTCTTCTGAATTGTTGGGTCTGGTGTATTGCATCTTCTTCTTCACAATACCCCATAGATTTTCTATGGGGTTAAGGTCAGGAGAGTTTGCTGGCCAATTAAGAACAGGGATACCATGGTCCTTCAACCAGGTACTGGTAGCTTTGGCACTGTGTGCAGGTGCCAAGTCCTGTTGGAAAATGAAATCTGCATCTCCAAAAAGTTGGTCAGCTGCAGGAAGCATGAAGTGCTCTAAAACTTCCTGGTATGTGGCTGCGTTGACCCTGGACCTCAGAAAACACAATGGACCAACACCAGCAGATGACATGGCACCCCAAACCATCACTGACTGTGGAAACTTTACACTGGACTTCAAGCAACGTGGATGAAGTGCCTCTCTTCTTTTCCTCCAGACTCTGGGACCTTGATTTCCAAAGGAAATGCAAAATTTACTTTCATCAGAGAACATGACTTTGGACCACTCACCAGCAGTCCAGTCCTGTTTCTCTTTAGCCGAGGCAAGACGCTTCTGACGCTGTCTGTGGTTCAAGAGTGGCTTGACACAAGGAATGCGACAGCAGAAACCCATGTCTTTCATACGTCTGTGTGTGGTGGTTCTTGAAGCACTCACTCCAGCTGCAGTCCACTCTTTGTGAATCTCCCCCACATTTTTGAATGGGTTTTGTTTCACAATCCTCTCCAGGGTGCGGTTATCTCTCTTGCTTGTACACTTTTTTCGACCACATCTTTTCCTTCCCTTTGCCTCTCTATTAATGTGCTTGGACACTGAGCTCTGTGAACAGCCAGCCTCTTTAGCGATGACCTTTTGTGTCTTGCCCTCCTTGTGCAAGGTGTCGATGGTCGTCTTTTGGACAACTGTCAAGTCAGCAGTCTTCCCATGATTGTGTAGCCTATAGAACTAGACTGAAAGACCATTTAAAGGCTTTTGCAGGTGGTTTGAGTTAATTAGCTGATTAGAGTGTGGCACCAGGGGCCATCAATTTTGAACCTTTTCACAATATTCTAATTTTCTGATATGATGAATTTGAGATTTTCATTTGTTGTCATTTGTAATCATCAAAATTAAACAAAATAAACATCTGAAATATATGAGTTTGTATGTAATGTATGAATATAATATACAAGTTTCACTTTTTAAATGGAATTACTGAAATCAATCTACTTTTTCATGATATTCTAATTTTATGACCAGCACCTGTATATCTAGATAGATGGGTAGATATATATATGATGTTGGCATTTGTCTTCATTCAAACATTTGGTCTAATAATCCCCAGTGTTTCAATGTGTTGCTCTGCGTCAGAAAGTCTCAGGTTTGTGTTTGAGATGCAACTGTGGAACATTAGACAAGGACTAAGCTGCCAGGGTCTGACACAGTCATTCTTTGAAGACATGGCGAACCAGGAGCTCACATATTGACAGTATTTTGCCCCAAGCATGTACATACGTGCCTGTGTTAGGTTAAGTTTTCCATTGCCACTCGCCCTGCCAAATTTAAACACATGCCCTGAAAATATTGCTTGCAGACAACTCTTGGACATGCCATGGATATGGGCCATGCTGCTTCATGTTTTTCCTTTTTTTTTTGTGATTGTCAGGATCGAGAAGCGTGCCAAGTACAGCCGGCGCAGGGCTTACAACGACGATGCAGACATCGACTACATCAACGAAAGGAACGCCAAGTTCAACAAGAAGGCCGAGCGCTTCTACGGCAAATACACAGCAGAGATCAAACAGAACCTGGAGAGAGGAACGGCCGTCTAGTCCGTCCCATCGGCTCAGAAATCTTTCTAGATGCTTTTTTCTTCTTTTCATTGAACTTTGGATTTTAAGTAATGTATCGTGTTCTGTTGGGTTAGATCTGATGTTTCTTGTACAGTATTAGAGCTTGCTATTACCCCCCTCCCCCTTTTCTTAATAAATCCAGTAATCTTGTTTCTGTGAGCTCTTACTGTGTGTGGTCTTATGATGGAAGTATTTTGAGCTTAAGGATATCAACTGCCATCAAACCTCTGGGTGTTTTCAGTGTAGCATGAGGAAACAAAGATGTTATACTGGATTTGTAAAGAGGTAATAAGCATCACCTTTATCTCAGTTTTAATTCGCCCAGGGCTGACTCAACCAGGAAAGCCTTGTGACTGGAGGCTTCAGTTCAAATGTTGTGGCATTGCACCCTCTATAGGACTGACTGATGCTGTTATTTCAAGAAAGGACTTCATATTTGCTCTGACTGAATAAAATCCTAAGTACCACCCTAAATTTAATTGAAGACTTGTGTAACTCCAGTCCTAACTTGAGTTAGGGCAGACATGAAATGTGAAATCCCAGGGTGCAAGTTAAGACATTATTGATGGATTATCCTTTTGACTTAGTTTCAGAAATGATTTAGTAGCATCTTAATGCCAGGATTCTGTCACAGGGTTTCTGCAGGTCATTAACAATCATTAAGTCTCTAAATAAGTTTTATTTAGCTGTGTTTGAGTCATGGACACTTGAAGGCATTAAAATTTTTAATAGCATTTAATTACTCATTACTGTTTAAACCCTGTGTCATACCGACCTTGTTGACAAGCAGCCACAAAACCCAAACACTAAAGTTTTTATCCCCTTTAGGGGAGCTTTAGCTAAAATATAACTTGGTATAATTTGTCATTTCCAGTAGGAACCAGATTGTATTTAATGTTTTCAAACTAATTATGTCAACTGACCTTAACAGCTCTGCAGCTAATTCTAAACAGTGACACCATGTGGTTGGTGCAGGAACTGTAATAGTATTTAATCAGCCTGCTTATTAGAAGTTTCAACCATATTCTGCATTTATTAGGGCCTTCAGGATTTCTTCAGAAACTGTTTTGTCAATTATAAACAAAAAGACAGGACTCTTATTCAGTTCTTTATTGAATGTTTAAACAATACACAGATGAAAAGGAATAATCCCACCTGAATGAATTCTTCACCGCTTCCCATTTATATCTTTAAACATCTGAAAGAAAATGACCACGAAATTACATTTACAAACTATGTACATTATTCAGTGTCCATGTACTCTGCCGTACACATGGCTTATTAAACATGTTTGCTTGGACTGGATCTTTGTCCTGAACTGATGGGAATCCAGTGGCCATAGGGCTTCCGACTTTCAACGCTGTCGACCCTGGGCGTTACCTTTGCAGGAGGCGGAGCCACCACGGTTGGTTTGGCCACAGAATTCTGTAAAGAGAACAAGGCTCACGTCAAAAATCGGTTTTGATGGCATTAGGCTGTCAAGTGTACATCTTTCAATCACCTACTTACATTAACACTGAAAGCAATTTTCCGTTCGATCCTCGGGCTGGACACACCAGGCTCTGCCTCGTCCTAATTCAAGCAGAGAAAAAAATGAAAAGTTAATCATGAGCAACAAATCGCAGTTCAACCTACAGTCAATGGACTCGGGTCTAAGGCGGATAGGATATCACTAATTTATACATATGGCACTTTCAAAACTGCAGCTTTCATGCAGCCCTTTCATTACTAAAAAAAAAACATCTGAAGGATAAACATTGAAGCTGTTATAAACATTTACTAATTAGTTTTAACTGGAAGACTGATGGATCAATGATGAAGACGCAGGTTCCCCCAGCCCCTCAGCACACATCTTGTGTACCAACTTATCTTTAGGATATGCAGAGAAGTTCTCTTGACACATGTCTGTTCTCCTTCAGCGAGTGGAAGATTCTGCTATAATAATAACCCATTTCATCTGAAAGCATAAATACATTGTAATGGCACAGAACTAACACCTAACTACAATAACGGATTTCTCTGACAAATATGGATTTATATTTTCTTATTCCATGTAGTAAGTAAGCATTAAAACATCCAAGTCAGATAACATGTCAACGCAAACAAATATGGTCGTCACCCAAGTCACATGACAGCCTTTTTATCCCAGGTGCCGATGAGTGAAGGAGACCACTGTCATGTAATCTATGAAGACAGGAATAAATACAGAGAGCATGTGTGTTCCCTCATGGGTCAGAAGATTTACAAGGAAATGTTACAAAAAAAAAAGTAGATCAAGAGCAGGTAAGGAGTCAGCTTCAATATAAACTGACCAGCAGCAAATTTAAAGAACTGAATGTTCTTTTAAGAACAAATCTGTTACCTTAATAAAACATTTTCCAGGCCAATAGTACCGTACCGTAATGGAAAGGAAACTGCTTTCCCAACCATACAAAGCCTGGAGAGACGTTTCCTTTTAAAGCTCTTTACTTTTGCAGACCACTCACCTCCACCTCAGTCTTTTGGGGCCCTTGCCTCACCCTGGTGAGTGGCTCCGGTGAGTGACGTCTGGCCTCTGGCTGCTCTGACAGGATGGGCTTCACACTTTCAGGAAGGTCCAGCTTCTCCACTCCCAGCATCCTCATTGCATTGGCCTTGGCAACTTCAAGGAGTTCCCTTTTGTCTGGAAAAAGAAAACGATTTGATTAACCAATCCCTGTTTTCTCCCATCACATTTTTAATTAATAAAAACAGCTTTACTCACCATGCACGCTTAGACTGACAGAGCGTCCTGATGACCTGGATCGTGAGCGCCCCCTGTAGGGCCTGGAAGGGGAACGAGAAAACCTGCATCTCAGCTGACTCACGGGCCTCCTGTATCTGCTCCAGCGGGCCGGTGACCAGGAGCCGGACCTGGACCTCCGCCGATAGCGGTAATATCTGTCTGCTGAGGGGGACCGTGTGTAGGAGCGAGAGTGCGCCCTGTAGCGGCGTGGAGGGGATCGGCTGTAGGAGCGGGAGCGTCCTCTATAGCGGCGGGCTGGGGATCGACTGTAGGATCGGGAGCGCGCCCTGTAGCGCCTGGGTGGGGAACGGCGGTATCGGTCGCCGCCATAACTGCGGTGGTCATCACACCGGCACCGGGAGGAGTGGCGGTGGCAACGAGGGTGGGAGCGGGATCTGGAACGCGACCTGGAGCGAGAAGATGACCTGCTCCTGGAAGAAGATGAGGAGGATGAGGATGATGACCTGTAATCACCCCGGCGACCTTTGCGCGCCCTGTAGCCAGAACCAGTGGATCGGCTGCTGGCGGAGCTGCTGACAGAGCGGGATCGGGAGCGAGATGATCCGGGGCTTTTCTGGTCGAAGATCACATTGAGGCCATCGCTCTGGCGAGCCTGAGCCATATCCGAGTGAGAGTTAACCTGTGTAGCCATCGTTCTGAGATTCTGCCAAAGGCTGCAAAAAGGAAGAAAAAAAGATATATTTTAAGTGTTTAACTCCCAACTAAAAACATAAGATGCCTTCTTAACTGAAATGACTGAAAGAGTTACGTAAACGTTACTCAATGCTGCACCCTAGCGATAGAAATGGCGTTGCGTAACTGCAGTGGCCTAACTAGAACCATGGAAATTTCCAGAAGTTAGCATAGCAAGCTAGCAGATCGACTTAATAGCTTGAGGAAGTCGTTTAAAGTCACATTTGGTTACTTTCAGGCTAGATATACGTTCAAATTAAACAACAATCAAGTGCGTTTAAATATGGTTCATTTACAAATAATAAAGCGTAAAAAAATGTTAGGTTAGGATAGTCGATGTAGTCTTACCAGTTTACGTTAGCTACGAAATCTCTTTATCAAATCGTCGACAAAAATGCCAGCTACGAAGAAAAGCACCTCAAAAAGTGTTTAAACGAAGCAACAATGTACTTTCAAAAGCGAAATATCTATGAAATATTGGATTAAGACCAAATATTTCGAAAACAAGCGCAACACTTCTTTCTCGATGTTGAGCCTCCGACCGTCGTCACTGGAATGATGGAGAAACTGCAGCAGACAGCAGCTATACCAGGGTTCTGGAATTTTCCATTCGTGAGCGTATTCAAGCGATTCGATTTTTCCAACCGGTTCATCCGTAAGAGTCTTTTCAGTTCAACTTAAGTGATTTTCTAGATGTATAACAGCTTCGTGTTGAACAATGTATATCATAATAGTATGATAAAAACAAATTTGGGCGACACGTGTCCATAAAACACCATTAGGCTACGGTGAAATAACAAAAAAAGTTCAGCGTCTGATCCGTCCAAAAATTTTGAATCAGTTCCAGCAGCCCATCTGAAAAATAGTCGAGCAGGTTGTTTTTTTTATAAGCTACAAGAGCAAAAATCATTTTTGATGAAATAAAGAAATAACATTAAAAGTGGTGTTGTAGCTACAATTTAATAACAGGAAATACTGAAATAACCCAGCGTATACAATATACAGTAATACAAATGATGCATTACTAGTCTGTTAGTGGTTTTGCTATAATCCGTTTTAAGGAAAGATTTATATATATATAAAAAAAAAAAACATCTTTAATGCATCTCGTCTCGCATCTGTCTTGTGACAAAAAAAATAAAATGATTAAGGGTTTTATTCTTCATCTGAAAATTACAGATCTAAACAGTACAGAAAGCCCTGTCTATTTCTATGTGGTTCTTCAATTTGCATTTCTGCATTTTGTAAACCTTCAAGAAAAAGATACCAAATGGAGTTTCTATTTATATATGCACAATCAAATAAAATAAATATATAATAAAATTATCTCGTGTGAATTTCAGTTTTATCGATCGCCTTTTTTATGTATAGAGATAATGGATTTTTATGACAACACTGTTAGGTTATTCCTATACTTATATGTGTGATATTTATATTTTTAATTGGAGAAAATATAAAAGATCTCGTTGTCCTTTCGCCCATTATGTCCATGCTCCCCTCCCTTGTTGCAGACGTTGCAAGGGATCTCGCGACATTTTATATAACTGCTCATGTTGACTACACATAGATTTAAAATAATAGACGCCGCAGCAATGTTTTCAGATTTACGCCAAAACTGTCGCCATTTTGTAGGAGGCATTTTTTTTTAAAACTGAAAAACCCTATGAAACAGTTTCTAGTGATTAGGTAAACTTTACAACTATAAGGTCTGTGCTGTGTTTTTCATGTAGGGACATGTATCTGGAATATATGGAAAAAATTAACAAGACGTGTTACTGATTGTGACATTTCCGCCCTCAAAACACTAGAGGAATTTATATATATCTTTATGTTAGGTTTATATTGGTGTTCAAATACAGATATTTATACAAAATCATGATATTTTTAAAAGTGAAGATCAATGTAATTTTAGCAATAATTAAATTCAGAGAGAAAAAAATTAGTTGTCATGCCCCCCTTTTAATATTTTTTTTTCATATGACAGATAAACTATTTTAGTTTTTCCTCTTTTTTACGTTTTTTTGTTTGCTTTTGTCTTAGATTTAAAATGTGACATAGAATGATTGTTTAATCATTTAAATTTTTTGAGTTGATGTTTTAATTAAGTATATTTTCCCTTTGGCTTCGTTGACAGCTATGTCCACTACTGTAATCTGTTTTTGTTTCCTCTTCAAATACAGCACCGGCACACCATCCATGTGTATCAGAATATAGCAATTGTGATAACAATTGAATAAATTTGATTGTATGATCTGGTTGAATTGTAAAGTACAGGGGAATTGACTCTATATAATTAAACTGAATTGGCTGGAATTATTAAATATAATAATTCTGAGATTAAATTCAGAATTCTGAATTTTTCCCATATTAAACTGGGATCAAATTTAAAAATCAGTCAACTTTTTTTTTTCGTGTCCCTAATCCTTTTCCGTAGATTTATACTGTCACACGTAATATCAACTTTTATATAGCATGTGGGGAAATAGTTGCTAAGAAGCAATTGCCACTCAAAAGATGGCGGAACCACCGCGTAACGACCCAAGGCAGCTTCTGCACCTATAGATCTATGTTTACTTTGCAGCTTCCTGACTCCACTGACTTTATAAAAACGTCCACTTTGCAGCCCTTCCAACGTATTCCGCCAGCCTGAAACTTTCAATCAGGTCACAAACTGCTCCAAGATGGACGTCCTCACTGTGCTGCCCTCAGCTTTTGGATATGTAATATTAACCTACCTGTACAGCTGGATTATGCTCGGTTATTTGGCTGTTAAGGTTGGCTCTGCGAGGAAGAAATACAACGTAAAGGTACATCAATTGAGAGATTTTACTAATTAAAAATGCTCATAATCACTTCATCAGGCGCTGAGAAGTTTGTCTGAATGCATTTTAATGTAATTTAATATTTCTTTGGCAGTATCCCACAATGTACAGCGACAAGGAGAATGTGTTCAACTGCATCCAGAGGGCCCACCAGAACACATTGGAGGTGTACCCCCAGTGGCTCGTTTTCCAAACAATAGCTGCCCTTGTTTATCCGGTATTTATCTTTTATTATTTTCCTGCAAAGATCCTGCGACATTTGATATAAATCTTTTCAGATGCAGAAAATAGATAGTCACTGTGACTTTGCATATTTCACTCTGCTGTTTCCTATTACCAGCTGTCTGCATCTGTGCTGGGGGCCATTTGGGTGACCAGCAGGTTTTCTTATGCCTGGGGCTACTACACAGGAGGTAAGACCCGTAATAATAATAATAATTATCTATTTGTAAGGGGAAATCTAAATGATATCTCTGCACCAAGGTGAAAGTTCGGCCACTGATTTTTTTTTTTTTTTTTTTTTTTTTGCTCCTCACCTAGTTTTGTTTAATTATTTACTTGAGATAACTTCTAGGGAAAAGGTTATTTATGGAAGGAATCAGGCTGAGCATTAAAGATTTGTGATCCCACAGCGGGTATTTTCTACGACAGAGTATTAGGGCCAGACTAGATATTTTTGCTCTTCTATTACGAGAAAAAAGTCGTAAAGTCATATTACAAGAATGAAGTCATGATACTGCAACCCTTTTCAGAAAGAACGCTTCAAGCTCCAACCAGCTTCACCAAATGGCAATTTCAATCCACTTTGACCTACTGCCCAATTTGATGCTGGTTCACTAAAAGACTTCCTTATTTGTCAAACCAGAGCCAAAGTATAACTTCACATGATGCTCAACATTCCTCAGTTTAGGAAAGAAAGTGCTTCTTTAAGGAGTTGTCATAAAATACAACTTATTTCTCGTAATTTTTAGACTTTATTCTCTTAATATTACGACTTTATTCTCGTTATTTTATGACTATTGTCGTTGTGACTTTTTTCTCATAATATTAGGACTGTATTCTCGTAACTTTACGACTTTATTCTCGTAATGTTACAAGTTTATTCTCGAAATTTTACGACTTTATTCTCGAAATTTTGCGACTTTATTCTTGTAATGTTACGCCTTTATTCTCGTAATGTTACGCCTTTATTCTCTTAATTTTACAGCTTTATTTTAAAAATTTAATGAATTCATTCTCCTAGTGTTACGACTTTGTTCTCGTAATGTTACGACTTTGTTCTCGCAATGTTACGACTTCATTCTCGTAATTTTATGACTTTGTTCTCGTAATGTTACGCCTTTATTCTCGTAATTTTACAGCTTTGTTCTCGTAATGTTACAACTTTATTTTCTGTGATTTTACGGATTTATACTCGTAATGTTACGACTTTATTACGACTTTATTCTCGTAATGTTGCGACTTTATTCTCGTAATTTTACGACTTTATTCTTGTAATTTTACGACTTTATTCTCAAAACAGAAGAAAAAAAATATCTCTAGCCTAGCCCTAATACTCAGCCGTAATTTTTAGCGTCTATTGTTGCTCTGACATGTTTTTGTTTTGTTTTTCTTTATTCCCAGATCCAGCCAAGAGGATGAACGGTGCCTACGGCTACATTGGATACTTTGGGGTCATTCTTCTGTCTATATCTATTGCTTTGCAACTGCTTGGACTTTTCTAAGAGGCTTTATTTTTTTCCGGTGTTTGCCCATTTAGTTGAAGATGAGCTAATTGCTGGCACGAATCAATTTTTTGATGTGCTTGAAAAATAAAGTCTCTGTACTTAACAACTACTTTCTATATTTTTTGTAGACCACTATTTAGAAATCACAGTTCATATGTGTTTTTATTTTTTTTTAAATGTAACCAAATTTTGTCAAAGAAATAGATGATGATGATGATGAAGATGATGATGATAGAAGTGAATTTTTTCAGAGTACTGATGTGATGAATGGGCCAAGCAGTGGAGGGTAGGAGGCTCCATGTGACTTCCACATGATTTCCCTGAAAATCCATTAGTGAGGGCATAGCACAATTTTTAACCAGTATATGTTCTGTTGCCTCGAGTGCTAATATTAAAACATGAAAATAATTTTTTTCTTTTGTCATTGTTTTTCAGTAAAATCATTGTATTTCAATTGATGTACCATTTAATTAATAAAATTACAATCATAGAGAATAAAAACTTTTCTGATCTGCTTCATTATTCACATTTTCTAATGTTCTTTTACATGGCAGGTTTAAATTGCGGTAAATATTAACTAACTTTAGATGAACCTATTTAAGCCTCTGTTCTAAAGGGGACAAAGCTCCTTATGTTTTTATACTTTTCCATTTTACTTACTAAAGTAATGACCTCTAACTTAGTTAATAAAGTAAGTGAATGTTAATACAGTAATGTTACAAAACAACGTTTTTGGGGGGGGGGTTGTAGGTGCCTTAGATTAAATGAACTTTGTGACCTAAAGAGTTGACAGATATGAGTTATTTTAATGATCACTCAGGCCAATATACAGTGATTGTCACTATTAATGCTAGGGCTGGGCTCCCCTCTTGAAATATAGACTATGTAAGTTAAGTTGGGGGATGTCGGTGGCCACGTCATGTGACCTAGAAGAATGTATCGCTTTATGGCCACAGGCTCTGATATAGTCATGGGGCTAAGGCTTTTGCTCTACTGTTTTTCCACCTGTCGACTACTGGTCATGGCTGAGGAAAGGAAAAAGTTTAAACCTTCTGAGGCAAAAAGGAGAAAACGTGTAAGGGATCGTATGCAAGGAAAAACGAGTCGACCTTGGAAAGGAGTTTGTTCGTTGGCAAAGGTTGAAAGAAGAGGCTAAGGACCCCCAAACTGATGGCAAGATAGAGCAGGGACCCCCTAATTATGTATATGGTATATATAATTAATTATATATATTTGTATATATAATCTACAATTTTATATATGATTACCTCCATGGACCCCCTAGGGGTCGCAGACCCCCTGTTGAAAACCACTGCTCTATGAGAACACACAGGTGCAAACGCAATTATCTATTTGCACAATTGGATTATATTGAATTTCACACCTATAAGTTAAATAGCCTCTCAGTTTCATTTCCAGTTTCTTTTACTCTTTTTTTTTTACATTGTTTGCATACATGAAACATTTTGAAAGTGAAAACCAATCTTTATGTAAAATTTGTTTGTTCATTTCATCTTTTGTATGTGAAACTTAAACATTCTGGAAAAGTTGGATTAAACAGAGTTAGAAAAGTTGCAAAAGAAACAAACAAAACACTCCTACTGTACAATTGAACGTCTTTACTTTTAGAAAAGTCTAACTTTCCGTATGACACCTGAAGGTAACATAATGAACAAACTGCAGCACTGTGCTTCTGCAGCATTTTTGAATGTTTTCATTAAAAATGCAAACAATAACAAAAAAACTGATAGGTTATCCTCTGAAAATATTATTTTTTTCTTTTTAAAACCCACTGTTAGTAGTAGAGATGCAGCGATCCAGTTTTTCCGATCCAATAGCAATACCTAGGCGGAGCTTATTGGCTGATACCGACCTGATCCAATAGTAGAATGGGTGAACCATAAACACATTATATTACTTTCATGCAATTCAAAACAATAAACTTTATGTATTTGAAATAAATATACTCATTAGCATTGTTTTTAGGTACATATGTTTAATTGATACTAAACCTGATGATTATTCAATTATTATTGATTGATTATTTGAAATAAATAAGCTTTAAATGAATATAGGTAATGTAAGGGTTATTTAAAAGCTATGTGTTTAAAAAATAGTAAAAGTAAATGGGAATTTGATACGTAATAAATCTATATAAATCGTCAAAGTTTGTTGAAATATTTCTGTGTGTAGTTTTAATGGAATAAAAACCAATTTAAGTGTAAATTGATAACGTGGAGGAAGATTTATTAATTCCTCGTTTTAGCCTCTTTTCATAAAGAGTCTCTTTTAGAGTTATTATCATCAAGCATGTTGTTTTTGTAGTTTTCGCTCAGTATTGTGAATCACCATCGACGCTGCTATGAAATATCCTCATGAGGGACAGTTTCAAATAAACTGTGAAGTCACAGCCACAGAAGCAGTTCTTATGTAAGTTAATTTTTTTAAATGCTTCTCCAGAAAGAAAGTGATCTGTCACAGCAATTATATTGTCATAATTGTTGAATTATCAGGTACTTCTAGCCCCCCGTTGTCATGGATGAGTGGTAGCTTCATCTTGCAGTCTTTCTCCTTAGGAGCCAATTGTTGAATATGCAACCCTTGTTTAATGCAAACTGCAGCAATGGTTGTAACTTTATTGGGTTGGTAACTCTTGACACCTTAATTCCATTTTCTAAACCTAAGGCAAGTGAATGCAGCACATCTACCAGACAGTTACTTTATTGTTTGAACTCTACATTTTCCTGCTCAGCTTGTTTAGATTAAATGCAGTTTCTAATTCTCTAAGTGAGGGGAGACAGCTCCCGCGATGGATGGACAGACAGTTATGTATGTATTTAGATGGATTCTCAAAAAAGCTTCCTGTTCTTTTATTTTCCCTGCAGTTCAGATGTATTTCATGGTCTTCTTGTCACCCAGCTTTAGTGCAAATGTGAGGGGACATAAACTTTAAGCAAAATATTAACTCCAAAAGACTTTCCCAGTTGTTGCTACAATACTACTTCTTAAGTCTTCCCTGTGTTTGCTGAGGACCATCTGTTTAAATATCTGGTTGAATGTCTGTTTACGGTGAATGTATTTATATGTTGATTTCATTTGATTGTTTTAGAATTGCTCCACTCATGAAAAAAAAGATTAGTTCTGATTAACAATCAGTATTTCTAAGCCAATCCCCTTTCTGTGCCTAAGCTTCACTGTTAAAGATCAAAGATAAAGTGCTGTGCTGTGTTACACACAGTAACCCGCCCTTCCTTATCTCTCTCTGCAGGCGCTGGAGTTTGGCTCTTTATTGGCTTCATGCTGGATTTCAGCATCATCATTGCCTCCATGCGGATTCTCTTGGTAGTGCCCACTGATCACTATTTATTCACTGGATTGCTGATTTCCCATTGGTTATATGGGGTTGAAGTGAAGCCACCGGCCGCCATATTGGTACTCCCTAGTTAGACCAGTCGCAATGTAAACAATATGTGCACTACAGCATCAAACAACAATGATGTTCTCATTTTCAGGGGGACTTAAAGATTTTTAAAATAAAGATAAATTCATCACTTTGTCACACACTTGCTGTTTCATAGCATCAGTAGATTACTTTAACTTATAATAAAAAAAAATAGGCACATTCCAATTGCATAGTCATTATGAAGTCAATGAAGTCTATATATCATGTAATATAACATATTATACAAATCACTCACAACAAAACGAATGTGTTAATGGAGTATAATGATACAGATGTGCAAGTAATACACATGTATTTATTACATTGCTATGGTAATTACATCTTACACACATATATGTATGCATATATTGATAAAAAATGAAGCAACTGAAAGATTTGACCGATTTAAACGATACACACAGCCGTTAAACTTCTTGTTTTTGCAGCCAAATGCTACACAAGTTGTCATTTTTTCTTCGTGTCTCGGTGGGAGTCGGGGGGTACCAGCATGCCGGATGGTGGCTTTACTTTTTTCGGGCAATCAGGAATCCAGTGAATAAATAGAGATCAGTGGTTGTGCCTCATAAGTGCCATTTATCCCTATTGCAATGTAGCGTTCATTAGGCAGTTCAGGTCTCAGAAAAATTAACAAAGTATAAGCACTCTAATGCAGCAGATCATCTTGCTATTATTGTGTTTTTTTGCAGAAAAGCCATCTGTATATCCTGGTGTTGCCATTTTTCCCACAAAATGTATTAATTTAGCAAAAAGAAACTTGAAACTTTTTATCTTTTCTAATTCAGAGGTTTGGTCTTCGAATCTGGGTGCACAGAAGATCTCTGGTAGTGAACGACTGATCCATGTCCTTCTAACTACGGTTAAACTCTCCACTTCTAAATTATATGAGACAACAATATTTAACTCAAATGAATTTCAATATTAACCTTTTTATCTTTTTAAATTAGAATGTAATATCTATGTTTTTACTGTATTTTAGGTAATTTAATTGAATACAAATCTCTGCAGACGTCTGTAAAGTTTAAACACTTTCAGGTTTTTGCAGCCGGATTGTATCAATGTTCTTATTGTGGTTTTTATGTTGTGTTTAGACCCAAATCTAAATAGAGGAGCTTTGCTGCAACATCTCCTTGGAACGACTCACTTCTTTATAAAACATCCTTGACATTTTGAAAACATTATAGTGGAATTATATAGAGAGATATTTTATTTATTTATTGAATCTAAACTTTTGTGTTTTTTGGATTTATTTTTCTCCAGCTTTAACAGTTCATCTGCTCTTGACTAAGTTGAATTAAATACTAAATTAGCTTATTTCACATTGCAGGTCAGACATAAGTAAAAAGTTATAATAGGGTTATAACAGTAAAGCAGTTTCGTTCTCTTCACATTGTGTCTGTTTCTTTACATCATTTAACAAGCTGCATAATAAATGAGTTGGATTGTTATCTCCTTATCATTCAGCCTTTATTTTTATTTCTTTAACACAAAAACATCTTATTTTTACAGAAATTTAAAAAAAACAACATTATAAAGTTTTATTGGGTTGCAAAGATGGATGTACTTTCAGGATCAGATCTGATCGACTTGTCTCTTCGTCTTCTTACTTTCGTACCACAAGGTTTGGAAACTGCAAAAACACAAAATATTCAAAAAATATTAATACTAACGAAGACGTTGACATTTTTTTTGTTACTTTTTTTTTGGCTTAGACGTATTAGATGATACCTCCCAGAAAGCCTGATCATCAAAGCATTTGTTGTTTTGTGGTGTTCTCCAAAATTTCCACTTCAGAAGAAATGCTTGAAAAGAGAATGAATATTGGTCAATGGCATCTTTAAAATACCCAAATCTTTGCTTTAAGTACATTTATCATAGCGTACATGCATTTTATCTAAATTTTTAAGTCTAAATAACAGATTTACATCAATTCAAACTATTGTTAAAACAATTGTTGTTTTCCTGAAGACGACTGGCTAAAGCTTAGGGATGATAAAAAGCAAGAATTTGGTATCTCTTAAAATCAACAGATCTTCTTAAA